CCCTGGACACTGGTGGACACTGGTGGGCGCTGATGGACACTGATGGATGCTGATGGATGCTGATGGACACTGATGGGTACTGGTGGACACTGGTGGACGCTTGATGGACACTAATAGAAACTGCTGGGCACTGATGGACAGTGGTGGACATTGATGGGCACTGCTGGATGCTGATGGACACAGGTGGGCACTGATGGACACTGGTGGACACTGATGGGTGCTGATGGGCACTGCTGGACGCTGATTGGAAATTTGATGGACACTAATAGAGACTGATGGACGCTGTTGAACACTGATGGACACTGCTGGAGACTGATGGACGCTGGTTGACATGGGAGGACACTGCTGGGAGCTGATGGACACTGCTGGACACTGATGGGTGCCTGCACAGACTGTATTTTTCCAGAGCGGGTTAGCGTCTCTGACGGTGTTCATGAAGCTGCCTGTTGTGTAACATCGCATGTCCATAAGTAGTCATTGATATGTGGAGGACTGAACTTCAGGACTGAACTCCTGCAGGTCCAACAGCCAACATGATGAAACTCCCAGTCCCTCCATAAAAACCTGTATCACTCATCTAAGTGTCTTTAATCGTGATCCAAAGGATTCACAATCTGCACTACGATTTCTATTTACATTTTTTTTTTCATTTTATTTTTATTTAGCTTCATATAGCAAACCAGAAACCAGTGAATGAGAAAAAAGGAGGAAAAAACCCAAATAAATAAACTATTATAAATCAAACAAGGGTAAGGGCAGATAGGTAATGCTTCAGAACATATTTTATTTTAACTGCTTCCTTTATTCTGATGCTGTTTTGTTTCTTTTTCCCTCTGAATTAAATCTTGTCTTCAGTCAAAGGACACGTCAGCTGATTGGCTGAAAGGTGGAGCATTTTTCCAGGATTCAGATCCATTCTGAACAGCTAGCCTGACCCGCAGCAGGTTAATGTTCAGAGTACGTTACCATGGTGACCAGCCTGGCTAAGAAAGAAATCCAGCTTAGTGGAACCAGAAAGTCTGAGTTGAACCTGAAGTTAACTCAGTAATCCTGCTTCCTGGTTCAGGTCTCTGTTCATGTTAACATCATCAGCAGCTGAAGCAAAGCTCAGGTGGAGCTCAGTGGACCCGTCCGTCCGTCCGTCCGTCCATCCAATTTCTTCCTCCTTAATCAGGGCCGGGTCGTGGAGGCAGCAGTCTAAGCAGAGATGCCCAGACTTCCTGATCCACACACACCTCCTTCAGCTGCTGTGGGGGGGCCCTGAGGCGACACCAGGCCAGCTCAGAGCATTAGTCCCTCCAGCGTGTCCTGGTCCTTCCACCAGGCCTCCTCCCAATGGGACATGCCTGGAACTCCTCCTGAGGGAGGCGACCAGTAGGCATCCGGAACAGATGCCCGAGCCTCCTAAGCTGGCTCCTTTCAACGTGGAGGAGCAGAGACTACTCCGAGCTCCTCACCCGATCTGGAAGGGTGCGCCCAGCCACCCTGCGAAGGAAACTCATTTCGGCTGCTTGTAATTCCAATCCTTTTCTATGGGTCACTACCCAGATCTCATGACCATAGGTGAGGGTGGGAACGTAGATTGATCGGTAAATAAAGAACTTTACCCCCAACTGGCACACTAGACCAGCTCTATACCCTTCATTGGGTGCTGGAGGGTTCATGGGAGTTTGCCCAACCAGTCCACATGTGTTTTGTGGATCTGGAGAAGGCGTTGGACCGTGCCCCTTGTGGTAACCTGTGGGGGGTGCCCCGGGAGTATGGGGTCCGGGGCCCTCTGTTAAGGGCTGTTCGCCCTCTGTATGACCGCATCAGGAGCTCGGTTCGCAGTAAGTCAGACCTGTTCCGGGTGCATGTTGGTCTCCGCCAGGCTGCCCTTTGTCACCGGTTCTGTTCATTACATCTATGGACAGAATTTCTAGGTGCAGCCAGGGACCGGAGGGTGTCCGGTTTGGGAACCTCAAGATATCATCTCTGCTGTTTGCAGATGATGTTGTCCTGTTTGCCTCATCAAACCAGGACCTACAATGGGCGGTTTGCAGCCGATTGTGGAGCAGTCATGATGAGGATCAGCTTCTCCAAATCCGAGGTCATGGTTCTCCACCAGAGAAAGGCTCCCCTCTTCAGGTCAGGAGGGGTCCTTGTCTCAAGTGGAGGAGGTCCAGTATCTCGGGATCTTGTTGAGGGATTTTAACTCACTTGTTCTTTTGTTTAACTTTAGCCAGTTTCTTTCTACTGTTTTATTACCAAACAAATGTTTGACCTGAGCTGTTTGCTCACAGCTTTCCTCATCGAACAGCCATCAGATCCTGTCTTCTGAAAACTCTGTTTTTCACAGTCCTCTGCTGCGTATGGAGAGAACCCAGCGAGGCTGTTATTTTCAGTCCTGCTCCGCAGGGTTTACTGCTGACTCCACAGAAAGATCTCACTGCTGCCGTTGGCCTAGAAGCCAAATTAGCTAAAACTTCCTGCTGGAAAACACGCTGCTGCCGCCACTGAATAAATACAATAAATGACAGATTCAAATGCTTAGTGACAGTCTGCAGCCCTAACTGAAACTAAGATTCTCTGTATTTACAATAAAAATGATACATCCATCTAGTAAAGGTTAGAGGTCTCCATGTAGAAATGTTGATGCTTTGTCTTTGTTTTCTGTTAAGGGCCTGATTTTCTTTGGTTAGCCGATTCATTTGAAGCCAATGATGTGGCCTCAGAGATCTGCTGTTTATTTTTTACTAGTATATATATATATATATATATATATATATATATATATATATATATATATAAAAA